CCGTAAGGGGAAAGAGCCAGGCGGTGTCTTGCTACGTGGGCTGAAACCAGGAGAGAGGTCGAGCAAATGTAACACAGATGGGTGTTTTGTTAGATTTTTCTGAAGGTGAACTTTGAACGGGAGATGTGCTCACTCAGGAGATAGCTATATTTATATACGGGTAAGATACATATTGTTTGGGTGAGTAAGAGCCTTTGTTCCAAGTCCCGCTGCTAAAGCCCACGTGGAGTGACAATTTGGCTCTGCAAAGCTTCCTTTTCCTTTGCTTGGGGAGTTGCTGTGCTTAGGAAAAACTGACTTCACCAGCTGCATCCCACTAGCCTGAGTACCAGCAGCATAGCTGTCAAGTCTGGCATCTGCTCACTGGTCCAGCCAAGCCCTTCCGTTAACTGCAGCGAAGAAGACCTGGCCTTTATTTTGCACTGAGATGCTGGAAGGAAGAGCAGCCCCATCCCTGCCATTGAAGGGTCCGTCTCTGGATGTCTGGGATGAGGCCAAGGTGTGTGTAATAGAGCCACCGTGCTGCAAAGGAATAATTAGGAGAGCCCCATGATCCCCTCTGCTTTGGGGTGATGGCTCAGTGGTCCCCATCCCCTGGAGCAGCATCCTCCATTTCCACACTGGAGTGCATTTGCCCTGGATCTTCGCCAGGCTCTTGACTGCAAAACTTCTTGGGGAAGAACCAGAAACTTCCACAATCATGGCAAAAAACGTTGTCGCAGCTTGCATGGTACATTTGTCTTTTGCTGGCTTTGCAAGGAAGAAGCCCGCCGCGTCACACCACTCCAGCTGGAAAACTAATGCTTGTAGAAATTCAAAGGCAAACGTCGCCAGTGAAGCTTTGAGATGATGGGGTGGCAGCGATGGTCACATTGCGGGGAGGTGGCCCCCATCCCTCCCCAGCCTTGGGCATGGGAGGGGGGCGGTGGCAGCAGGGTACCCAGCTCCTCCAGTCACCCATGCTGGATTTCCTTCGTTGGGCTTTACCCCAGTGGGTTGGAGCCTGACAGACCAGTGCTGCACCGCTGAGCATCCTCATCCAGGGTTGGGTTACTTACTTGCTTACTGCATCCTCACGTGCTTCATCCAGATCCCCTGTAGCACTCAAGTCAGAAGGATTTATTCATTTGGCAGGTTATTAAAATTAGCTGAAATACCCTTTTCTACATTGTTCTGCCATGCTTAATACGGTGATCAGCATTGCAGCCTGTAGAGCTGGGGATGATTTGCAATTAAATACCCATTAGGGATTTATGGGCTTCGGGGCTCAATTGCTGGGATGTGCAATTGCCAAAATACTTGAAACGCTTCCACGGGAGAAGAGTCCTTGTGGGAAAGGAGCACTCGCTGTTCTCGTATGCAGGCGGTTCCCAGTGAACCTCTGTTACTGGCAGCGAGCACACCCAAGCCAATAAAAAATTACATGGTATCCAGAGCGCCGATGGAGCATGAGCTGTGTGTTGGATGATGATGAGGAGCAAGCTACTGCTCCCGGCGTGCAGTACTGGCGGTGCTCGCAGCAGCTCCCAGTCCCACAGGGTTGTTCAGCGGGTGGGTTTAATCCGGGACACGATTAAACGTGGGCATGGTTTGTATTAACACGACCCTGCAGCCGGTTGAAACAGGGTATGAGGTTGTTTGGAGTGGGAAAAGTTATTTTTTGCTGCTTTTCCTTGTGCACTGCCAGCACCTCTCATGCTAGTGCATTGAGCCCGAAGGGGCAGAAGGTAAGGTGTCGTTAAACGCGGTGGATGTTGAAAGAGCCAAGATCCAAAGGTGTTAAAAGGAAAAGCAGAATATCCTCAGGTCCTTTGTTTCAGAGAAACTGGGTTTGCAAGGGGATGATCTGGAGAAATACTTGCTTTCCAGCAGCTCTTCCCTTTGAGCAGGCATCTGTGGCTGCCCATCCCTTTGGAGGGTTTTAACCTCTTTTTTCCTTGAAGCAAATGGAGAAGGAAGGAAAAAGCTTGCTGAGAGGGTTGCCAGCAGGTTTTTCTTGGGAAACATTCACTCGCTGGGTTGCTGGCTCTTTTTGTGGCCACAGTGGCCGGCCAGGGGGGCCCAAAGAGCAGTGGCTGGACCTGTAGGAGCCACAAAGCCAAAACCAGCCCAAAATTACCCTCCAGAAATACCATTTCTTACCTGGCCATGGTGAGCTCATCTCGGGGGGGAGCAGACCCCGCAAGCGAAGCGATGGGTGGGAATATCACTGGAAAAGCATGGCGAGCCCCGGGGTGAGAGCTGGTTTCCCATCCCATCTTGCAGGAGCATTGCAAGCTTTGAGCAAAGATCCCAGCTGCCATGGTCCAGCGGCCCGGGGGGGGGGGGCTCAGCATCACCTGGGGGGTGAGCTGCTCTGAATCAGAACTAAAATGCTGCTGGGAGGCAGCTCCTGCCTTGTTCCCATCCCTCAGCTGAGCTTCCAGCCTCCATCAGCTGCTAAAATATGATTTTCTCAGTTGGTACTGGAAAATCCCCCCTGGGATGTCCCGCTCATCCCCTGCAGCCCAGGCAGGGTTTGAACTTCGCAGAGCATCCTAGCAGGGCGCATTATTATTCTCCTTCAGCATCCTTAAAAAAAAAAAACCCAAACCAATGCACCCTAACCAAAGGAGCCCACGGCTTGATGCTGCTCGACCACGAGTCACCATCGCAAACCACAGAGCTGGTGCTGTCCCATCTTCTCCTGTCTCTGGGGTAGCGTTACCTGATTTTTTTATGGGAAAAAAAATGAGTCAGGAGTGATGGGATGTGCTTGACAAGGGGGTTCGGGGCAACTCAGGGGGACAGGGATGAAGGAGGGTCTGCAGAGGAGCTGGGGAGGGCTCAGTGCTGAAACCCCCTTGAGCTTTGGCTCTTTCCCAGCTCCTAGGCCCCTCTAAGCTCCTTTCCAAAATCCTGGCTGTAAAACCATGGGCACAGAGATGCCCTGTGCACTGGGGCAGCGCCAGGGCTCGCACATGCTGCCAATAGTAAATAATTAGTGCCCTGCCAGCGGGAAAGTCCACGATTTTAGCAGCCAAGCTGGGCACGTTTAGGAGAGCAGCCCCGCTTCCCCTTGCCACCTCGCCTGGCTTTTTTTTTTTCCTTTGCTATTTGATTTTTTTACTATTTGATTTTTTTTCATTCCCGGGGACCACTGGTGAAGCAGGAGCCAGCGAACAGGTTGTAAATGATGCTCAGGCACAGAGGAGCCTGGCAACAGCACCTGGGCGGTGTGATGAGCTTAGTCGGTCCTCAGCACACCTCCCTGCTCCCACCTTGTCTTGATGCATGGGGATAAAACAACCCGGAGGGGAAAGTTTCTGGGCACTGGGGCATCGGGAGGAGAAGCGAGGGGGTGCATGCCAGCCCGACTCGGGTTACTTATGTGCTTATGGTCTATTTTGAGGCTCTGGCCACGTGGCGCTAAGCAGCCGCTGACCCAGGGAAGGGACCAGCTTCAAAACAAGAGTCCAGAGGGTAAGGACCTGGGGAAGCAAAGGACTGGGTTTCTTTCGACTCTGAGCGGGGCTGGCAGCACCCTTGCTTCCCCCCTGAGCCCGTTGTCTCTTGGGTTTTGGCATTTCTACAGTGGGAATTGATTTCTTGTTTAATTCTTCCCACTGCCATCCTTGAAGGTATCCTGGGGCAGGTTGCGAGCCCAGGGTACTTTAGAGGGAGAGATGCGCTGGCGGTGATGGGGATGTGGATGAGCGAGCAGCCGTCACCAGCGTTGGCGAAACCGCTTGCCTACAACCTCCTCCTCTGGTCTCCTCCCCAAGAAAGCTCATTTGCAGGCAGCTTAGTTGGCCTAAGAGCATTAGAGGTGCATTTGGTGGACATTAGCTGCTCAAGCAGCACCGGGAGCATGTGGCCGATTAGGGGCAGCAGTGGCTGGTGTCGGGCAGAGCGCTGCATTCAGGGTGGAAATACTCGCCGTGCTGCCCCGTGCATTTTGGGGACCCAAAGGTGAGGTGTGGGGGGACGGGATGGGTGCTGGGGGGTCAGCTCTCATGGCTCGGGTGCTTAAATATACCAGCCGGGTGCTGGTGTTGGGTGGCGTGAGAGCAAGCCCATGTGCTTTTCCCTTTCACTGGGGGGGAGTATGTGTTGCCCCCTCCCACTTTCCAGTGCCATTTCAGCTTTTCAGACAATATTTCAGTTTTTTCTTTAAATACTGCCTCGCTTTCTAATCTGCTGTCTCCTGCAAAGATGAGCATGGTCAGGGATGCTCATGCGGGATGCGGTGGGTGCTGGTGCATTCCGGGGCACCGTGTCATCGTCCCCGCTCACCGGCCAGGGCCTTCCTTGGAGCCAGCCTGGAGAGGAGGACACACTCACCACCATGTTTCCCTTTCCCTCCCCTGCAGCCTTGCTCTCCGCTGGGATTTATGGAGGTGCTGAGGACCAGCTCTGAGCCCCGTAGCCCCCGGCAGCCCGCCCCGTGAAGCAGCGACCGGCCGCCTCGCCTCGTCTCGCCCGGCATCCCAACCCTCCGACTCAACCATTCAAGGCTCCTGTGCATGGATCGCCCTGCCCCGCAGGCTCCCGGCCCCCCCTGCCACCCCCAAGTACTCCACATACCCCGATGGGGTAACGTGACGGGGGTCACCCTCCCGCCACCGCCACCCCCCATATGCAGAGGCCTTTCTAGAGCGCCAGGGAGCGCGCGGCACCGGAGGTGGAAGCCGCTCGCCGTCGCACACACGCCGAGGACGCCGACACTACAGCAAAGGGATTTTTTTCTTTAATTATTATTATTATTATCATTAATATTATTTTTTCCCATCTGGCTTTTTCCCCCGGGGGCTTGCAGTGTGTCAAGGAAGCCGGCGCGCTCCCAGGAGCTGAGATTATTTGCACAACGTCTGTATGTTGAGTTCTCGATCCTGTTTTATTTTTATTTTTTAAGCGCAGAGGGGCTGTTGTGGTTTTTTTTTTTTCCCCTCCGTGCCACGCTTTTCGTGGATTTTTCCCCCACCACCATCAGCACCACCTCACCCTCCTCCTGTCCCGCCATGGCCCGGATGAACCGCCCTGCGCCGGTGGAGGTCTGCTACAAAAACATGAGGTTCCTGATCACCCACAACCCCACCAACGCCACACTCAGCACCTTCTTAGAGGTAAGGAGGGGAGGCTGGAAGAGAGGGACTGGGACCCAGCTGCACATTTTGGGGCTAAAAGCCAATGTTGAGATGCAACAGGGATCAGTCCTCTGTAGGATGAGGTGGTGGCAAGTCCACTTTTGTACCTTGATCCCGGTGGCATCCTGGCATGGTGGATCAGATCACCACTGGCTTTTTAGGGCAGGACATTCAGGGGGACCCCAAGCACGGTGTTTGGGCGCAGCGGAGATGGAGCAGAGTTTCCCTGTTCCTGTTGCATCCCCTGCCCCCTCCACCAGCAGATCACATCAAGGGCCTTTGCAGTGATGCACATGGATGTACACAACCTCCCTTGCATCCCCCAGCACCTCAATAAGGACTTGTCATCCCAAATATCCCAGCATCTTTCCAATGTCTGGAGTGTGTTGGGTGGTGCACAAGGAGCTGGAGGGCTCAGTGTTGCATGAGCCAGCGACAGTGCCCTGCCTGGGAGCGCTGCCTCCGGCACTGGCAGCAGCCAGCAGTTAGGGGGGATTAATGGATGCATGTCTGCAGACCAGGGCAAAAGGCTTTAACTTACTCTTTTTATCAATGCCTGGGGGAAAGGCAACATCCTGCAGGCTCGGTCGAGCAGGCACAAGCAGCTTCTGCCTACAAGGAGGCATTCTGGGATGTTGTTGCATTCATGGGGGCACCTGGGGCTGTGTGTGAGCCTGGCAAAGGGTTTTTTTGCCTTAGATCTAAACCACCTTGAGGTCTGATATACTGGCACCAGAGGCATCCTCTGAGCTCAAGGAAACCTTCCCAATACACACCCGAAAAAACAAGTATGAGTGCCACCGGCTCAGAGAGCCACAGGAAGGTGGTTGGGATTTGGGGATGGCCACCCGATACCCTGCATGCGGCACACAAGGTGATGGGGATGGCACAGTGGGAAGGGGAGAAATTCCCCTTTCCTCCAGCTTCTTAGATTTTTGGCTGAGCTGCCACATGTGCAGGGGTTTGCTGTGGTCTGGCAAGCGCACATGGGGAACGAAGGGGATGGATCATTGAAGGGGACGGTCTCATGTGGTGCTTGGTGGGGCCAGTACACTGGCACATAATCTGGGGGCAATCCGTGCGGCGGGCGATAAGCCACGCTGGAAACAGCCCAAGTTTCACGCCCAAGCCTGTGGCACATTGGAGTGATGATGGGATACAGCAAGGAGGACAAGAAGCAGCCCCTGAACAATCTGCAAGATGCTGAGTGCGGTTGGCGGGGTGCGCTACAACCCCCCCAGCCGCCTCTGTTCCTTTCTGCAGCAGGAGTTACGATCTCACTGGGCACAAATAATTACTCCTTTGGGGGTTTTGCACCCGTGTCAGGGATGTTTCTTTGCCTGGGGTGTAAAGTCCCTGCTGGTGCGGCCATTGGGGCTTGAAAATAAACATCCCCACTGGCGCTCGTGACTCCACGGAGTCGTGAAGGTGCTGGGTAGAAATCCTACCATGGCCACGCAGGTTTGGTGCCCTGGGATTTAGTGTTTCCTTGTGTTTCCCAGGCTGGATGGACCACAGAGGGGTGGTGCTCAAGGGTCCAGAGATGGGGCACGGCACTGTTTTAGGGTCCATAGGGGTCCGTGTGGTCATAGCAGAGCTTGGATATGTTGGGGTTAACTGCGGTGTGACTGGCAGGGTTTTTTCAGACCCTTCCTTCTCCTTCCCTCCCCAGGACCTGAAGAAGTACGGTGCCACCACGGTGGTGCGAGTGTGCGAAGTGACCTACGACAAGACCCCCCTGGAGAAGGATGGCATCACCGTCATGGTAGGTGGGCCGTGGGCGCCGGGGGGGGGGGGGGGGGGGGGGGCCCCGCCCGGGGGGGGGGGGGGGCGGGGGGGGGGGGGGGAGGGGGTGTGCCCGCCTCCCCTGCTTAAATATCCCCATCCCTGGGGTCTGCTAAACACCCACCGTTTCGGATAGACTGAATCGGCATTGTGCTTGCCCAGGAGCAGGGTTTGAAGCCCAACTTCATCCTCGGGGTGAGGCAGGCGAGCTCCCTGCTCCCCAGGCTGAGATGGGGCTGGTGCTTTAAAAAAAGAAAGCGCAGCCCACGCACCCGAAACTGTGACTCGTGGCTGAGTCAGCAGCTGCCTTCCCTGCCTGTCGCTCGGGCTTTAAAGCATCCAGGGGATGAGATCGCCTGATCCCTCGTGGAAGATGCACGTGGTTCCCGTTACCCCGGCGTTATCTTATCCGGGGAAGGGGGGGGGTGCAGGATTTTTGCTCTTCTAGCAGCCGGCTGGTGCAGCCTGGGGGGATGCAAGGGAGCAGGCAGCAAGCAGGAAAAGGCAAGGAGGCAGAGCAGGCAGCTGCCTGGGCTGCATCTTGGCTGATCAGTAATTGGAGATGATGTCAGGCGTGATTACCCTGCCAGGGAGTTCAGCTCCAGCTGGAGCGTGAGGCTCTGCTCGTTATTTAGGAAAGGGTTTGGAAGTGCCTCATGTCTCCTGGGGTGGTCCTCTGTGTGTAGGTCCTCTCTATATGGTTCTCTCTGTATAATGTATATCTTGTAGAGATAGCTATATCCTAGATCCTCTGAGATATAGGTAGATAATAGAACCTATGTCTCTCTAAATACAGATCCTCCAGATGCAGATTTCTTTAGATACAGATGCTATGTCTCTATAGGATATATCTTATAGAGAAAGATAACTGTATCCTACATATAGGATGTGTATGTAGGAGGTCATCTCTGCTCTCTTACAGACCAAATTCTGCCTTTTACCCTGTTTCTGGCTGGAGTCCTTCAGTCTGAGTTTCTATATCTCAGATACACATCCCTCTCTACATATCTTATACAGAGAGATAGCTATATCTAGAATATATTTTATATTGGACTTGATGATCTTAAGGATTTTTTCCAACCTTAACGATTCTATGATTCTATATAGGGGGATATCTATATCTTAGACATAGAAACTATGCAAGATACTATATAGAAACTATATAGTTTCTGTATATAAGATACAGGTTTCTATAATGATATAGAAACTACACAAGATATGTAGAGCAATATCTATATCCTGTGTATCTATGGATAGATATATCTATGCAGATACAGACATATCTCTCTATACATATCTCTATATACCTATATCAAATATATAGAATACAATCACAGAATGGTTTGGGTTGGAAGGGACCTTTAAAGGACATCTAGTCCAACCCCCCTGCAATGAGCAGGGACATCTTCAGCCAGATCAGGTTGCTCAGAGCCCCGTCCAGCCTGACCTTGAATATTTCCAGGGATGGGGCATCTACCACCTCTCTGGGCAACCTGTGCCAGTGTTTCACCACCCTCATCATGAAAAATGTCTTCGTTACATCTAGTTTGAATATCTATATCTATATCTATATCTATATATATGTGGCGTCCCTGCCACATTGCCTGGGCAGCACTCGGTGCTTCGGCAGCTCTGCCAGCAGGTCGAAGATGGGGCAGAAATCCTGCTGGGAAATCAGCGCTGTGCATGTTTCACTGTAGGAAGGTTTATGGTGCAGGATGGATATGCTGTATTGGGTATACCAATGCTGCTTAATGTCTTCATTGATGGCGTAGATGGTGGGATTGCACGCAGCCTGAACACGTTTGTGGATGACACCAAGCTGAGTGGTGCAGTTGATACACTTGAAGGAAGGGATGTCATCCAGAGGGACCTTGACATCACTTGCAGTAACTGGGATTCATTAGAGGTAACTTTGTGCAGAGGGTTTACATTATTGTACAAGTGAGAGAGAATAGGTTTAAATATGGCAGCATGGATTCATACCTATAATGTAATGAGGAAAATAAATAATAATGAAATGGTAAAACTGTAGCAAAATTATTTCCCTCGATGGTGTTAAAATTTTGCACATATCCATAGTTAAAATCCATGTGGTTGGTCCCGCTGGTTTGTTTTCCACTCACATGCTTTGTCTGATGATAAATACGTTGCTAGTGAGGGATTCTTTTGTCTCTCTTGGCATTCCAGTTTGAAATATTTCAAACTTATGTTCCTGTAGACACTGGGAATTTGCACTCAGAGAGGGATTGAATAATACCCACTGTACAGAGAAAGCTGATAAAATCTTATCTTGGTGAAAGCTCCTGTATAATCTCAGTAGATGAGGACAGTGTAAAGATGAACTCAACAAACCATTGAAAATACCATCTTTGTGAAAGGCAGTCTGCTTTCACATTGAACTGTGGTTCAGATGAAGTGTATGTAGGCTACTTTTGGATGGGGCTTTGAGCAACCTGATCTAATGAAAGATGTCCCTGCCCATGGCAGGGAGGTTGGAACTAGGTGATCTTTGAAGGTCCCTTCCAACCCAAACCATTCTGTAATTCGATGATTTTGTGATACGGTGTGTCATCCCCGCTGCGAGCCCGGTGACCCGCGCTCATGGCTGAAGCAGTGCTTTCCAGGCACCACGGGGAGGACATGATCTTGTAGGACAGGCACGGGCTGTGCAGGGTGGGCTGGCTCAAGCATTAGGGGACCCTGAAGCCCAGCACGCTCCTTTCCTAGCAAAGCCACACTGAAATCACATTACGGGTTTAAAGACTGAAGTGAAGCTCAGCAGCTTCTTTTGCCATCTTACACCAAGGATGACTCCAGCACAGCAGCTTAGTGACTCACTCCTCAAACATGAGGATTACAGCCCCATGCTTCTCACTCACTGGGGATCACATCCCCTCCAAGCCCCTCCAAGCGATGCTCCCCTGCCATTCCCCTGTCCCACTGCTGCGTAGCCAGTGGCCGCATTCCTCCTGCCAAATCCATTCTGGGAGAGAATTCCCCATTTTGGGAGAGACATACAGCCTCAACTGACTACCGGTGCCCATGAGGAGAGACCATCCCTTCCCCAAACTGCTGCAGCAGTCGCAGGCAAGGGGGTGACACTTTTCCCCCGTCACAGAGCCAAGGGCCGCGGCGTGCTTAACGCAGCACCCATTTTATCCACTTCATCACTGAGCTCTGATGTTGAGTCCACCACATCAGGCCCTGAGATTTCAGCCATCTCCAAGCCACCTTTGCTCAAATTTCCTACAAAGTGGCTCTGCGCTCCCAAGTGCTGGATTTAGACGGGAGCTGGCAGGGGGATGGATGGGGATTGCAGCTCCTCAGAGCTCAGCGCAGTCATCCGAACGGGGAGGAGGCAGGCGATGGCCGCTGTGGTGCACAGAGGCAGGAGGACATGGGGACCATGTTGCAGGTCCTCTAGGTGCTCCTGAAGGCTGAACATGTCCATAGGAGGTGGGAGGACCCCAGATCTAGACGCATATCGCTGCTACATCCCCATGGAGCTGCGCTACGAGCCCGGTTGCTGGCACACACACCCGCCTCCCCGCTGCCGAGGTCCAAAACACCATCACCCTGAGTAAAAGCAATCCCCTGAGTTTTTCCCCAGGATCTGACAGTGTTTCTCTCTTCCCCTGACCTTGCCCCTGCCTTGCAGGATTGGCCGTTCGATGATGGAGCGCCTCCTCCCAGCAAGATAGTGGAAGATTGGCTCAACTTGCTGAAGACCAAGTTCTGCGAAGACCCCGGCTGCTGCGTGGCCGTGCACTGCGTGGCCGGCCTGGGGCGGTAAGTCAGAGCCCAGCACCCCAGCTGCCACCCCACCCATGAAGGGAGAAGAGGGAAAACCTTGCCTGCTCTCCTCCTTCCACCTTAGAGCAGGGGTTTGGCATGCAGAAGAGACCTTAGTGGGAATAGGCATAGACGGGGGGCTGCTGCCTGAGCTCCTCCTTGCACTTCTTACGGCCAAATCCTGGACTCCTGGGGGGACCCGGGTTGCTCGGTGCTGTCCTGCCAGCCCCCCATGGCAATTTTGCTTTTGCTCAGAGCTTGTCATGGAAATACTGCAGAATGCTTCCCATTACAACTGGGAGCCACTGCTTTTCAAGAGCTGCTGTGTTTTGCTGCTCCCCCCACTGCAGGTCAGGTTTTGCATGTGTATTTACATGCACTTTTCCGATAGATTTGCCTCCAAAGTCCTCGTCCTCATTAGAAGAGCAGCAAACAGCTGCCAGCCCCATCCTGGGGTTTTGCCCCTAAAATCAGCTGTTCCTTGGGGCAGCGCTTGCAGCCAAATGGAAAGAAATTACAAACTAAAAGCCAGCGCTGGCAATTGCCGGCAATGCCACCATTACAGCCCCGTGGCTTGTCCCCTCGCCCCAGGATGGGGTGTCAGCTTCTGGGCCACGTGGCTGGGGAGTGACCGCCACTGCCATTGCCTTTCAGCGCTCCCGTCCTCGTCGCGCTGGCCTTGATTGAGAGCGGGATGAAGTACGAAGACGCCATCCAGTTCATCCGACAGTAAGTCGAGCGGTGTTTCGGTGTCAGGGGAGAAAGCAGTCCCTCTCCAAGGGAACGGAGAGATCTGGTGTGCCTCAGGGATTTTTGGGGGTGCCGGGGTAGCTTTTCTCTCCTTTTGGCATGGAAGAAAAGGGAGGAGGCCAGCACCAAGAACCCTGTGCCTTTGTGTAGGGCTGCGGGAGACTGAGGAGGTATCCGGGAGCATCCCTGGGGGGCTTTGGCAGGCACCCCGCTTTGGGCAGCCTCCCCACGTGTTTCTTCCCTGGCTCTCCGTGTCCTAAGACTCTCAGGGCTGATGAGCAAGAAAAGCTGCTGGGGTCAGTGCCTGTCTCCATCCCCAGAGGACACACAAGGCTGCAGCCTCCAAAATCCCTGCTCCAGGCAGGGGGGTTCAGCACCCTGACAGGGGTGGGTTTGGGGTGGGGGGGTCTTCTCCTGCCACGCTGCTGACTGTGCCGGCCCTTCTTGTCCCCACAGGAAGCGCAGAGGAGCCATCAACAGCAAGCAGCTGACGTACTTAGAAAAATACCGACCAAAGCAAAGACTCCGATTTAAGGACCCTCATAACCACAAGAACAAATGCTGCATCATGTAACCTCAATGACCTCTTGCCAAAATCCGTGCACACAGACACCCGGGCACTCGCACGCATCCCACCCTCTCACTTCCTCGCCCAGCCCCGTGCACCCCACGCACCGCCCCACTGACAGGGCTGGGGTGGGGGGACATGGAGCACCACCAACGTGTTCCAGCACCCACAGCACGGTCATCTTGCCGGACCCCTGAAAAAGGCTGCTTTCTCCAGCTACAGCCCCAAGGAGGGAAGGCTGCCCTTTGATTCTTGGTGTTAGCAGGCAATGAGCTCACATGACCGTTCTTCATCACCTTCCTCCTCCTCCCTTTCCCCTCCCGTTGCACTGAGAGGGATGGGCAGAGGGTGCTTGGTTTGGGGTGATGCAGGCAGGGCTGTGCCAGCTGAGAAGGGATGGGGAGCAGGAGGGCTGGAGCACCCCCAGAAAAACCCTTTCCCACCTCTTCCCTATAAATAAGGGCTGCAGCAGTGGGGACAGAGGTGGGGATGGTGCAGTGGCCTGAGGGGGGAAGATGGTGATAGCAGGGAGAGGTGAAGGGGGCTCATAGCTTGGTGCTGGCCTTGTGGCCGTGGGAAGAGCTGAGCTAAGTCCCCCCAGCACCATTCCCTTTCTCCTGGCCCCTCTGCCACTTCACCATCTCCCTGTTGCCTTGATGCCAGCAGGGATGCTGCAGATGGGCCTTGCTGCAGCAAAGGCAGAGGCGCTGGGAAACTCGGGGACTGTGGCGGGGCTTTGAGGCACCCAGCTTTGCACTGGGTCAGCACTGTGTCAGCACTGGGTCCCCCAAAGTGTGGGGTGCTCTTATTTATAGCTTCCAAATTCAGTGCACAGGGTGGTGGGTTCTCTCCTGTTGTGTCCCCATCACCAAGCCGTCGCACAAACCCCAATTCTGGCTGGGGATGCAACGCGTATCTTGGGGCACATCCATGTCCTCCATCGCTGCGTTTGCTGTCCGAGAGGCTGGGCTGCAGCTTTCCTGGGGGATTTTGGGTGCTCCAGGCAGGAGCACATCACCAAATTTTGCACCTGCCTTTCCCACACCCAGTGGCATCTGTAACGCGACGCCTGGCACCCCAAAACCCCCTGGCGCGTTCCCTGGTGGAGTGGACTCAGAGCTGCCCCTGAGCTGGGTCATTAAACATCTCTCAACTTTCTGCCTTTGAACGCTTGCAGCAGCTGGAGTGGTGGGCATGTAGGGGGCATGGGGGTGTTTTTGCTTTTGACAAGGATAAGAAGAAATTTGCTAATTAAAGGAAAAAAAAAAACTTAAAAAAAAAAACCTGTTTGTCTTCCGCACGTCCTCTGGCCTTTGTTTCTCCCATCGCTGCCTGGTGGAGCCCAGGAGGTGACCCATGGCCCCCCAGATCGATCCCCAGCACCAGGTCACAGCCAGCTGCCAGCTGCTGTCACCAGGGCGTACGTGTGGCCCAAGGGATGCTCTGGGTATCCTTTGGGCTCACTGCTGCTCCCCCCCTCAGCTGCAGAGTTTTGCAGATGTTGGGGCAAGGAGGGCTAGTCATCCAGCAGCTTGTGGTTTTAGGCTGCCCAACTTGAGATGCCTTCAGTGCCCTGTGTTGGGTATCTCCAAAGGTTTGTGTGCCTTCCAAAACATAGTATTCAGAGACATTTGCTTCAGAGGGTTCATCTCTTGGGATAAGTGGTGAGGAAGGCTGGTTAGGCACTTCGGTACCTGCAGAAGGGTAGGGGACGGCTTCGTGCCACCACACGTGGGCAGAGGAGGAGCTCAGAGCTGTTCCCAGCACCGCTCCTCCTCTTCTCCCAATGGGAGCCAGCCCCGCTGCACAGCAGGGATGGCCATCCCATGTAACGGGCCATGGTGCTGAGCAAGGCGGAGACCCTCCATGCATGGCCCCAGAGCTGTCATACTACACACCTCGGGCCTGTCCTGACCCCCACATTGTGGTCCCCTGAGTTTCTCCTGCCCCACTCCAGGCTGTTGGTTCCTGTGTCTCCTGGGGAAGGTGGCGGTGGTTGAATGGTCTGCGTTGGTTGGGAAGGGTGAGAAATTGGGCTGATAAAAAGGCCTGATCCTGTATTGCAGCAGTCCCGCTGGGTGGGTCACCATCCTCTTCCTACCGCGATGTGTCCTCCTGCTGCTAAAATAGGTGCTGCTTCGTCCCCAGGGGCAGTAGGAGGTGGCTCGGCATTGTGATGGGGACAGCCCCAATCCCTCTTAGCCTGGAGACCTCATGGTCTCATGTGCTCCCTGATCACAACAGGCTGTGCCATGACTTGCGAAGAGTTTAGGATAAAGCAGTGGGAACTGTTGCTTTGCAGGCTTGGAGATGTTTCTGCCCTGGCAGGAGGAAGAGAAATGTTTTCCTCGCCCAAGCTCGTGGGAGCATCGCATGGGAGGTTGCCCAGGGCAAGTGGTCCAGGACTTCAGCCACGATGCTTTTGAGTTGGGGTCGGGATCAGGACAGAAGGGCTTGAATTCACCTTCCTTTGGCCACAGGAACTCTTCACCTCCTCCATGCAGGGTTTGATGGTGGACGTGCTCAGTGCTGAGCTCTGATGAGAGTACACTCAAATCTCAGCTTGGTGGGCTTGTTTGGGGGAACACGGGGCAGAGGACAGGCTTTGCAGCGCTCCTTCGCATTATGTAGCATCAACCCATCCACCTTAAAAACAGAGAGCTTCTAGTGTAAGAGCAGTCCTTAACCTGGTACAATCCATGTGGCCAAATCCTCAGCACCTCTGGCTGGCAGAGCGGCATCTTGATACTCTTCAGTTTTGTGAGTCACTACAAAAAAAAAAAAAACAAACCCCAGAAAACCATGCTGCTTTAATTGTCCTAATTTCTTTCTTTTTTTCTTTTTTTAATGGATGTCTCCCCCCTGTCCTGGAACTTGCTGTGACCTCCCATGTGCTGCTCCATGGACAGGACACCTCAGCAGCCCAGGAGCTGCTGTCCTTGCATGGAGAACTTGATCCTGCTCCAAGGTTTCTCTGGGTTGGACTGCCAAATATTTGGGATTTTTTTTGATACGGACTTGGGCTTCTGCCTCTGAGGTACCAGCTCCTCGATGTTTCAGCCTAGAGAGGGTTGCAGAAACATAACTGGCTGGGGAAATTGAGGGGTCTTCCAACTGGGTTTCGGGTTAGAAATCTCAAAGAGCCTAGTTCCCTCACAAAAATCTTGGGACAGTTGGGGAAGAGGGAAGGTTGGAGCTCAGTAGACACATAGCACCAGAGCGAGGCCTAAGTGGCCACGGGCTCATGGTTTGGGCTGGTTTTGGGGTCTCTCCTTGTATGTTAATCCCTGTCTCACCTCAGATGCCAAGATGTTGAAAGGAGAGCCTTAAAAATCTGATGTATTTGCTGGTTCTGTTGTTGCTCCAGTTGTCTCCATCGGGTCTTGGCAGACATCATAGGGAACAGACACTCCCATGGCTTTGGCTACAAACCAACCACCTTGTCCTGCCCTTTTCTGCAGAAGCAAAGGCACAAACTGGGTTTTATACCTCCTCGCCCCTATCCACCTCCCTCACCCCCTCTGTGGAAACCCACCATCTTTCCACAGTTTGCAGGGACAGGGCTCCACACTGGTAGCAAGAGCTTTGGAGACCCAAGTGATGCCAAGCAGATATGCCCTAACCATCAAAACAAAAGCTTTTAGGCTTTGCCCAGGAATCAATCGTGGCTGAACCTTGTGTAGGGGAATAAATCTGAGCAGGAATTCGTAGTTGTGTCCTCTCACCGGTGGCACACGTGTGCCCTTACCTGCGTTTCAGTTAAGAGGCTCACGTGTCCCTTCTGTTCTCCATGTTTGCCAGTCGGATGGAGTGCATGGTGGGGGCAGCGGTGGGAAGGAAAGCAACGCGGCTGTCGCAAATAGCTCTTTATTTAAGAAAGGTCTGGTGCCACGTATTTAAAGACTTTGCATTTATAAATTCATATTATGAGCCTTGCAATAAGGCTGACACTGTGGTGCTTGCGCTGAGAGCTTCAGATGAGAAAGTTTATGAGTAACAGATTTCCCGAGGAAGCAGAGAGTCTTGCTCTATCTACAATAGAACAAGTCATTTTCTTTTTTTTTTTTTTCATGGGGTTTGTTTGGCTTTTATTAGTCCCAGTGGGAAAGCGCAAAGGGAGATTCGTGACTTCCATGCAGTTTCCAAGGTCTTACATCTTATTTGCTTCCAGCGAGCTGGGTAGGTGCAGTTTGGCGGGTGGGTTTGGATGGGATACTGTCTGGTGGGAGAAAAATGTGGCTGGTTTCTTTGCATAGCAGGGGGTCACGGGCCGGCTGCAGTCCCGCTCGCAGGCTCTGGCAGACATTCCCGGGGAGGGGGGCGTTTCACCGCGCTCGGCTTCCCTGTAGATGATGATCTCCCAATGAACTCTCGACTTCCCTGCTGGTTCTTTCTGTGCAACAAAGAACAGCATATTTTCCTTTTTAACTCCGTGAGCAATCGTAGTAGTATGTAGATTAAGCCCAGATGACTTTTTTTTTTTTTTTTTTGTCTGAGCCATAGCTAAATTATTATACCCAACGCTTTTTGTATCAGACGGCATCACTTTGAATATGCAGATGAGGTATAGGATCTTGACACTTTATAACCTTTTTAAAAAGAAAATTGTCTGTTTACTTATGTTTTGTGTAAAAAGGAAAAAAAATGTATGCCTTTTAGTAATCACTTTTTTTTTTTTTTGAGTTTTATGAAATTACAGTGGTTTCACTCCAGCAGCGAAATAAAAAGCGTTCACTGTTTTGTACATCCCTGTGTGCTGCGGTGCTGCTAATGGGGGAGATACCAAGATGGGGGAGGCAAAAGCAGAGCCGAAGTCTGGCCAAGGGACGGTGGAGGAATGCATTGGGAGCTGTCGGGGTCCTGCTGCCTCCCCTTGGCTGGAGACCTCAGCCCACTCCCATCCCATCCCAAATGTGTCCCAGCTACCTTCCCCACCCATTTCCTGGGTTATTTTCCTCCTCTCATCCCATTCCCCTTTCCTGGGAGCTCCCAGGACAGACAATGGACCTGGCTGGGAAAGGG